CATACAGGTAAAAGGACATTTTACAATAAAATTTTAAATAACATTATTTTACCTTCACTTACCTCAATATTATGTTACAAGTTAGCTTTGAATTTTCTATCAAAATAACGACAAACAGAGGTTTTATTTTTAAAAAATCAAGTTTCATAATCTCGGTTTAAGGCAATATTTACCTTGACTTTTCCTACTGCCTGAAAAGATTATTTCCGTGTTGTACATATAGGAACATACGTGTATGTCAGACTCCATTAAAACTAAGGACGGTTTTTTTGACAAAAGCGCAATTTAAAAAAAAACTTATCTCTGCGAAAAAAATGATACACAATGTAAAATATGTTGGTTATTAGTGTTTGACAAATAAATCTTCCTCGGCTCATTTTTGCTTAAAAAGATCCTGTTTCTCTTAATTCACATAGTAATTTCAAACTTTCGGCCGATAATGTGTATGTCCGGTAAAGACAAATGATACGTAGAGACACAGCGTGAATGATAACACCACTGCTTTTCCTCGGGTGTCTTTTTTCGAAAAACAAAGTTTATACCAATAAGGATCAATATTTTTACCTCTTCCATTCTGCTTTTTCTACTTCATGTTTTAATCACTTTTATTAACGATTATGCCTGAACACTGTCTCAAACATGCTTTCATGGCGAAATAGCCGATTACCCTATCTTTGGTCAAAGCAATGTTCATTAGAGAGTAGATACTTTCGTTGAACGCAAAAACTACTTGTTTTCAGTCTCATACTATTGATCCGCTTCACATAGTTCGAACTTAGCAAGTTACCTTAAACCTCTTTAAACATTTAAAGTGGATTAATGAGCGGTTTCTTTGTCAATACCTATGTATATACCTATACCTTGACTTCCCGCAGTACATGTAGCTCACCGCAATGTAAGTTTTTGCGTAGCTGAAACTGGTCAGTATCTTAAGATGAGCACCGTAAACGTTACAATTTCTTCGTTTCAATTAACAGAAAAGTTTCGAACAGCACCTTCAAATGAAGCAAATGTGGTTCACAGAATTGGCCTCATCGGTCACCAGGGAAGCGTGTAACAGCGTAGTTTCCTCTCCCATTCTCATTTGTGGTTATCGGTCCACTGTTATTCCGCTGGCCTTGCGTCTGCTTTCGTCCCTTACACCTTCATATATTTCATTCTAACAAGTTTATATTATATTGTACGCCTTACCGAAATCACCTAAAACTTAACATAATTCACGAATGCGACTTACTACGTTCCATCCCTACCACAACGCGATATTTCTCGTTTCCTCTCAAAGTGTTACAGAATAGAAATTATATTAATTTTCTTTAAGTTTCTTTATTGCTTTATCATAAAACCCATCAATTCAGGATCTACATAAATATTCATTAGTATTATTTTTTAGTACTAGTTTATAGAGAATTTTTCGGTTTCAGTGGAGGAAATTCGTTACTTTTTGTCTTTTTGATAGTACCTAATCTTAAAATATTGTCTCTTAATCTTATAATAATAAAATGCTTTGACAACTTGATTCAGAATTTCCTAGATAAACCGAAATTACATTTATATTCATCAATGCGAATACAAGAGACAGTAGTAGTACATGATACTCTTGTAATTTTATCGTTTAAAAAGAACGTTGACTCTAAATTTATATACGTAGACGACTACTATACGTACTCGATGCATAAAATGGTACGGTAAAATAAAATAGACGTGTAAAGTCGTGGATTTTTTAGGATTATCATTCACTTGTGCTACTTTGTGGATTTACATCGCCGCTACATCTGAAGTTAGTATCACAGAACTTTACGTAAATCTAGATTTATTACGCGCGGGTGACCTCTCAAGAATTTCCGCCGTACTCCGTAGCAACAGATGTCCACTATTTAAAGAGCTGCATTCAGAAGATTGCATGGGGAGCATTTGTCTATTTCAAAAGGTTTCTACACTACAATATAAATATTGCACATCACGTTCATATTAATTGGGTAAAACGAATAAGGAAATCATTTTATCAGTACCACGAATATTTGTAACATATAAGTATGCAATGTTCATGAAATATGCGTATAGTTCATGCTGAAATAAATACTCTCGTCTTATGAAAAGATAAAATGAAATTGAAAACTGTTTATAAAGGTGAAACGTAGAATAAATGTGTTGTGTGTACATCACCGCATAATTCAAATTAAGCCTGTATGATTAGCAGCAACTATGATGTGATACATAAAGATATAAGAATTTTATACAAAATTTACTATAATTGTCATTAAAATACTATTATATAAACTTAATGTTATATATTAAATAAAGCTGTTTAATATTGTTTAATTTCATTATCTAGTTATCAATATTATACCATTACTATATACATATACACTTAAGACATTTTGTGTCATATATTCGTAATAACACAGAACAAAAATATCTATAATAAGTATTGTCAGATTTGAGTAAGTAATTATAAGTTAATGAGAAATGATAAGGTTATATTATTTATTAATATACACTCAAAAGAGTACTGCTTACCGACAACAAAAAATTCGGAACCAATATATCACATACTCTGATAAAAGAATTACAACATAAGAAAAAAATTTTAGAAACAATATGACATGAAAATACAAGATATCCCCATTTAAAAAAAAATAAAAATAAGAAATTTCTTATTTTAACATTTAAAAAAGTATCAAAATTATTTAAAAACGGTGACAAATAAACAACTCCAAAGCTTATCTTCTAAAGTTGTTATTTATCAAATTCCACAGAATACTTGTGATGATTATTTGAATATGTATGAATAAACAAGAAATATTGAAATATTTATAAAATTTTTATTTAGTAATGAAAATAGTTAAAAAAACTTACTATACCTATTTTTCACTAGATTTATCCAATCCGATGATGACACCGTCTTCACTTCCTTCGACCAATGAAATTGATGCCAATCTCGTGAAGTTGTCGGTATCACGACTATGGTTCTAATAATGTTCGAAGAGTCTAGTGACTAGTGAATAAGTGATCGAGAATGAAACAGAATGAAATAACAATTGCAATTGCGGTATTGCAATGTAATTGAATGTGATGTCGAAAGTATTAGAATATATTTGCCAATGTTTAATTTGGAAACAACAAACGTTGAACCGTAAAGAAATATCATGACAGTTCTTTCCAAAGTAACTGAATATTTTTGTGAAGCATAAAATAACCGTACATCAATGGGAGTATAACTGAAATGCAGTACATAACCTTACAGTTTATAGAGGTATGTTATTAAATAGATTATTTTCTACTGTTGACGAAGTTTTAAACGAATTAATCTTCCTTAATGTTACGTCCCTGGGTGCTTTTTTTACGGGGGGAAAAACCTTGAAAAGGTGCACCGCCTCCGCTGGGGGCGGAGACGGTCAATGTGGGATTCTACCACGCTAAAAATCCCCCGGTGACCCTCGGGCAGAGGGCGACCAGCCCTGCCCATTGCCCTCCCCTACAGGTGTTTAAGGGGTGGGCTCTTCTCTGGGGATGGGTGGAGTAGCGGTTGCTTCTGTTACCCCTCCCCCCGCCCGGGACAGTTGCACGTGCCGTCCCTCCACCTCCTACCTATAGCGCCGAGGGGTCCCCTCTCGACGCTGTCCTCTCGTGGGCCGACCGCGAAAAGAGGTGGTACCCCCAGTACCACCCCCTCGGTCCGGTTGCCCCGCGGGCGATGACGTCCCTGGGTGCTACGTTATCCCGGAATTGACGCTACTTCGGATTCTTGCTCCTACTCCCGCCCGAAGGCATCAGAGTGTGTGGAGCATCCGGAAATAAAGGAGAGGAATGGATTGGAAGACGAGAAAAAGAGCTACGGTTTCGTCTCCTTGGAACCACCAGCCAGACTCATCAGTAGGGCTACAGCTGGCGGTCCCTGTTCTTGTCCCTGCCCCTGTCTTAGACGCGTGGGAAAGAGGATTTTTGGAACTTGTATTTATATGAACGGAGTTAGGAACGAGTACGTGTCATGGACATAGGAATAAGGGGACGGAGTGTAAACTCAGCTTATGTGCGAAGAGAGTGAAGCCTATTTCAGAGGGGAGAGAGGTACCAAAGTGTCCCTAAATTTGATTGGTTGCATTTCTACGCATGCTCGGTGTATCACAAATTACGACAGTGATAAAATCACAAATTAATATAGTGTCTAAGTTAACATTAAATAAGTGATTATTAGTGAACCGATCACAGGTCAAAGTGATTAATTCTACTTTCTTAACATTTTGTAACTTTGTATATTCAAAATTAAATTTTAATTTTTCATTTTGTGAAGTTAATGGATTTGAATTATGAAAATAATAGAAATTGAAGGAAAATATGCAAGTTCAATTATTAAACTTTATAAGATGAATTAAAATAGAGATATTGATTCGAAATCTTTTATTGTTCTAAATAAGAGAAACCAGAACAATAATATACATAAACTTAAGTAAGTTATACATATAGTTCAACAAAACAAAGTATATTTTAGGTATGTTGTTTCATTGTTTTATTGGCCTTTAAAAATTACAATTTTATTCAGTAACTGACGTTGGCTATTTGATTTGTCTATTCTATTTAATGTTATGCAATGTAGCCGAATCTTAATATATTTTATACAAATTGCACGTGTCAAATATACAATATGACTTTTCATAAATGTTTGATCATTATAGTGTGGTCATGTAATTATTTAGTACAATTATTTTCAAAATAAATGCAATTTACACTTAAGACACTACGAAAATGTCTACCAGGTCTACTACACTGCCACGCTTTTACACGTTCGTCTCTCGTCGCGTTACTGCGCATGTGCATAGCAGCAGCCAATAGAAATTAGGGCTACATTTATTGCGTCGCCCCTCCCGTAAAGGCATTACCCGCCACGCAACGGTAAGCTCCGTCCCTATTATTCCTATGTCCATGGTACTTGTGGGAAACGCGACGACGACGAAGACCTCTGCTGAGTGCCATCCGCACTTACCGGCCTGCCGAGTGCCATCCGCACTTACCGGCAGATCCACACGTCGGGGACGTCACACTACATAATAAACTTTTTAAAAAAATGGCGTATCTAACAAGAAAAGAAATAGATGAAATGAAGCCGCAAATTGAAAAAGCGGTACATAAATTTCTTGGTTTTGGGGAACCTGCGATTGTTACCACAGCTATCAACTGTATTACTTCTGGCTATGATAAACGCAAAACAGCAGGTTAGTATTACAATTAGTCACAATATTATTACTCAATTGATTTAACTTTTGAATTATAATAATAACCATAATTGTTTTAAGGTATGGTAGATTACCATTGATCCTATGTAATGTTAGAGATGTAATGTACTATTTTCCTTTGATTTATTTCATAAATAATAATGTTATCACAATAACTTGATATAAGTGCCTATATATTGTTGAAAGTTACTGTTTCCTTCGCATAATTATTACATAATTCTAAGTAGTTTATATGGATTCTTATATTCATATGCTTCATATGTTACATACCTTAAAAGAAACTAGTTATAATTAACACATTATTGTGTATGACTGATTACTGAAATGAAAAGGTTAATATATACATGATATTCTAGATAAATTGTCTGCTTTATTGGAAGATAAAAAGGCTTCCAAATTAACTGAGAAAATATTTGCGATATACGATGATGCCAAAGCTGCGCAGAAAACTAAGAAAAGAAATCATGTGGAGGACAAGGATAAAGAAAAAGATGCAAAAAAACCTAGATTTAGGGATGACGAAGTAAAAAATGAAAAAACAACAGAAGCCCAATTATCTGCAGACAAGGTACAATATTTTTATGAGTATATAAGTTGGATTTTATCCATTTTTTATGGTAATTTTGTTTGTACAGATACGACAAATGATGGCTAATGCTCAAAGAGAAATTGAAGAAAGGAAGAGGGCACTAAAGGCTATTAAACAAGAAGAAGGAACACCAGTAAAACCATTACTTAAAACACGAGATTCATTACCAACAGTGGGAAGCATGTATAATCAAGGTCTTTTAAGCAAAACAGATTCGGACAAAGCACGAAAAATTGCTGCATTACAAGCTCAAATCAGAAGTAAACTCAGCTCAGGATTACTCGGTACTGTCAGCGTACCTGACAAACCGACTCCATTAATCTTAGATGAATCAGGAAGGACAGTAGATATAACAGGCAAGGAGGTACAACTTACACAGGTGGTGCCAACATTGAAGGCCAATATTCGAGCAAAAAAACGAGAAGAGTTTAAAGCGCAATTGCAAGAATCCAAAGGCCCTGAAGAAATTCAGGATACACACTTTTTTGATACTAGGATAGGTGTAAAACCAGCAGTACGTGGTAAACGTACACTAAAATTCCACGAACCAGGAAAGTTTCAGCAGCTAGCAGAAAGAATTCGTATGAAAGCCCAATTGGAAAAGTTGCAGAATGAAATTAGTCAAATTGCTAGAAAAACTGGTATAAGTTCAGCAACTAAATTGGCACTTATAGCACCAAAAACTGAAGCTTTCAGTGAAGATGTTCCTAACGTGGAATGGTGGGATTCTGTTATATTAACAGGAGGATATCCAAATGAAGATGAGCCTACAGGAATTAAAAGTTCCACTATTACCAATCTCGTAGAACATCCTACACAAATGCGACCACCAAGTATGTACTTTTTGAGAAAATATAAACGTAGTAATACAACATATTTAGTTTGAATTAATAATTTCTTGTTATTCTTTTAGCTGATCCGTTAAAACCAATATATATGCCAGTATTTTTGACGAAAAAGGAACGTAAAAAGTTACGTAGACAAAATAGACGGGAAGCATGGAAGGAAGAACAAGAGAAAATTCGATTAGGTCTTGAACCGCCACCCGAACCGAAATTACGAATTTCAAATCTTATGAGAGTATTAGGTACAGAAGCCGTCCAGGATCCTACAAAAATAGAAGCTCATGTTCGACAACAAATGGCTAAACGATTGAAAGCGCACGAAGATGCCAATGCAGCTCGACGATTAACAGCCGATCAGCGGCGTGAAAAGAAGGCAAGAAAACTTAAGGAAGATACTACACTCGGTGTACACGTAGCTGTTTACAGGTAAGTTAAAAAATATGGATAAATAAAATATAACATTAAATTACATTAGGCTAATATGATAGAGAAATATTAACAAATAAATATTGTTTTTATAGAATACGTGATCTTCTAAATAATGCATCAAAGAAATTTAAGGTGGAAACGAATGCGAAACAGCTTTATCTTACAGGCTGTGTAATGCTCTTTCGAGATTGTAATGTTGTTGTAGTAGAAGGGGGTGCAAAACAACTGAGTAAATATAAGCGGTTAATGATGTATCGCATCAAGTGGGAAGAAGATACTATAAAAGATAACGATGGAAACGATGTGCCCAATAAATGTGTCCTAGTATGGGAAGGCACTAGTAAACAACGTCATTTCGGAGAAATTAAATTTAAAGTTTGTCCGATTGAAAAAATGGCTCGTGAGCACTTTAAAAAACATCAAGTCGAGCATTACTGGGATTTAGCTTATAGTGGAGCTGTTCTTGATAATACGGACGATATTCGATCATAGAACCAAGTTCTGTAATTTAAGCAATAAATATAAACAGGCTAATGTAAATGCGATCATAGATAATTTTAATACAATTTAAGTAAGCAATTACTATAAAAACTGAAAATAATGAAAGATCAAAACTGTAAACAATTGCAGATAGGGCGAAAATAAAAGTGCTCAAGGGTTTTGATGATAAGTTTTCCTTAAATAGTTGTAGAAACCCTTTATTCGCAACAAACTTGAATTAACAAAATAATCTATGATTCATAAATCACAGAATTGTACGAGTATGTTGCAAGACGTGTAAGTATCACTATTCAATTAAAGTATGAACTGAAAATCAACATTTTTTATTGCTTATGAAATAAATTTTTTATATCGAAAATAACGATGCAATTTTTATGTTACATACCGCTAAGATAAAGAATGAGACGAGGACAACAAATCGACGAATTGCTAACGAAAGACAACACCAACAGAATGTTTTAAATTCATATTTAACTCCATTAAAATGTGAGCAAATTGCATCACCGATACGTCTAATCGAATAATTTTCGTACTATTACTTTGCTTCGTAAATTAAACTTTTCAGTCAATCTTATGGATCCTTGCAGTCGAAGATACGTTGTTTAGCTGAAAACGGTAAGAATCAATAGAGCAGTACATACAATACGTGCATGATATTCCAGTCAATCACTGGCGATCTTCTTAAGAACTTTCATCCACAGTCGACATTACGGTCAAGCCCATAAGTGTTAATTAGCATAGCGCAATGACATCGCGTTGCTAACGCGTGGTATGCTTCGAAGGAACACACACGGGGTGTATACACATAACGTATTGTGTATACGAAAGTACGAATGCACTTAGAGCCTTGAAACCGCACGTCCAACCGCGACTACGGACAACAGTATCTATGAAAGGTGAACCTTGGTCTCGTTCATAATACCAATCCGACGGCAGCAACGATGCACTTTTACCGTGACTCTAAGTAAGTGTTACGCCCCGGTATATTGTTGACACCCTATATTACTGTGATCCTTATTGGACCCCACTCTTTTATCCGACCGGACACGTTCAGATTTTACTTTCGTTCGAGGATCGGACTCAGTTCAGGTTTGCCGCTAGATGTTCTTGCACATACCCGGCGCAAGTTTTGCGAAAATCGACAAGGCAAATGAATTCTATCGCGTGTTAATGTAGGATCGATCGTCCTCGTACGGGGTAAAGTAATTTTGAAAAAATGTCGATGCGCGTGAAACGAACATCAATCGACCATGTAATTATCTTCCTATCGCGGTGAGTGTTTTCGCTTTCATTCTTTGAGATAACCGATACGGCGGCCCCCTTACAGTACGCAGCGGCTGTTGTAAAATTTGATAGGTACTATTTACTTTAACATATGTATTGATGATGTGTCGAGCATCCAACATTCTGAAAATACTGTCATTGTTTTTCATTTATTGTTTAAAAATTAACGGAAATAAGGGAGTTTGAAAGAACTCGTGTTGTTGATATAGACTTCATCATTTAATTATCGCCCGTCGCGTCCTGTGACTGAAACATTAAAACGATGGAGGATTTGTTTATTTATTTTTTAATTTCGTCATTCGTACGTGAAATAAATTCATTCTTGCTATAATTAATCAAAATTCATAAAATTGAAATAAACATAAGACCAAATTGTGATATTTAAAAATACAATGTTACAAATAATATCAAATGATGGCATAATTAATATTAGGAAACTATTAGAAGTATTATACTTTTGTTGCCATAAAACATAATCATATATTATTTACTTCTATAAATTCCTTAAATAATCATATCAATGATTTGCCTAATACATATAAACATTCGACTATTTTTGTAACATGAAAATCGCGTGTTGTTTCGTTTAATATTAATTGCAATAAAATAATTTTAATTAATCCAATTAGTTCTGTTCAATTTATTTTTTTTTATCATTAGTATTTACATTATAAATCATTGAATCTGTGACTGACCGCTTAAATTATAACTCATTATATAATTAAAAATATACTCTAATGTTCGATATCGTTAGTAATCAGTAACCGATCAGTTTAATAAATATCAGTATTCCAGAATGCAATGTAGTCTTATAAAACAAAATTCCAAATGGTAACGTATCTTTATAACATTATATAGTGTTCCTTTAAAAATATTACAATTTCATTAAAATATAATACGAAGAAAGTACATATGTACATATATGCTTGTATTTATGACTAAAAAAATGTATACTTTTAACAGATTCAAATTTTTCTGTTACACACGGAGTTGTTCCTTTTAAACACACGTTTTAGTGGTATTTTATATACAATGTATCGTAATAAGAATTCATTAATTTTTCGCGCTGTATGAACAACTGATATTTAATAATAAGCTAGCTGTTATTCGAAATTAATACTTTCATCTCAGAAGAAAGTTCTAATAATTTCTAATAATTAGGAACTTTAGTCTCTCAGCAAATTGACACGTACATATGTACTTATACATATACCTGCACATACTGCCTACCACATTCAAAGACAATTAAAATGTTGAAAATAATTGACTACACTTTTTTGCTTAAAAAATTAAGAGATAGAAAATATTATTTATACATATAAAGTAATGAAGAAAAAATTATTTTTTGCAATAAATAATTTTCTGTTCTAGATGCAAAAAAAATCTTATAACTTTTACAATAATATAATAATCTTCAAATGAACTTAGATTAGAAAGGATTATTACATCTTAGATAAATTACCGATATTTTCTTCAGATTCGCAAAGAAAATAAACGAAAACGTTAACTAAATTAGAAGAAACTAGCAAAACGACTTTTTCATGAATATGTTAAATCATGTCCATTAAAAATCTTATATTTTGTAAATCTTCTATTCTATAAATATTTTCCTGTTATTCAAATAATGTTAATAATAAGCTGATGTTTTATAAAAAGGTTGGCTTAAAAGGATATTAACTACATATACATATGCTGAATTTCGTAATGGAATTAAATTTGAATGAGTCATGCAAAGCCACGTAAAATTTCAATATACAATATAAAAGGCGCAATTTTGTTAGAAATTACATACTTCAAATATTGGTACGAAAAAATTGAGTGTACTAAAACACAAGCAAACATCAATAAAGAAATACTAGCTTCAATAATACACTGACTATAAATCAAATTATTATTAAGTACTATGTAGAAGTTGGACGACCTATAGCGTTTAAAGCGTATAATGGTAGTAAAATGTTTTGAATGAAGACGTATTTATTTATAGAAGCTTTAAAAATATGTGAAGGTTTAATTCTGTTGTTTGATATATAGATTATCAGAATAGATATTTCTAAGTTTCGTAAAAGTTAGAAGAATGTAAATAATGAAGTTAATACAACACTGCGTACATAATTCTATAAAAATACCTGAAGTTTTTGGCAAGATTAACTGTTAATTGCGTATATTAACATATTTGTAATAAAATTGGTATAGGAAATAGTCTAAGAAACAATGTAGTCGACGAAACCAAAACTAAATAAGTCTGATCTTTAATAACGACAAGATATATAATAAATTAAAGTACACTGTTGCCCAAAAGTGTGGTTACTTACTGATTTTCAAAAAAATCATATCCCACAATAAATTCACTACTGTTTCGAACTGAATGCTTCTGGTAACAATTATTGAAATTCTTCATTTTTAACGCCTGAAAATGAATCCAATTATTTGTAGTTACTTAATTTTTTTTGGTTCAAACAAAAAATGTCTATTTCCTTCAATTCATAGAGTGATTCGAAACATTTTGCTAGCTGTGTAAATAGTAACAGATATCATTCACTATTTAGTACCTAACTGAATTTTGAGTATCTAACTGAAATTTTAGTCGCTTTTAAAAAAGTTCGCATTACGTCAAAGCCATTACATTAATTAAATTAACAGTTTCACTTGGTTGGCGTAATTATTCGTTGAGACCACACAATAGAATTAATTATTAAAAATCTTTCGAAATATATTATGAAATTTACATCCCCCTAATTATTTATAGGGTACACGTATTTTATGTATACTCTTAACTGTAAGGAGTGATGACTGCATTCATTAATACTTGTAACAAATTATGTGAACTCGTATGAGAAATTTCTTCATTAATGAATCATACCAGTGATTGCTTTCGTTAATTGACACGGACACTAATCATGTGAGCAGAAGAGGTTACGTAAAGAAACCACAGAAGAACCAGGAAGGAATCTAAATGTCAGACAGCGAGACTTCGATCTCTCCTTAAGGTCGCATGAATTCGTTCTATCCATATACCACAATGGTATAATCGAAAAGCCCACTAACTATACCAATTTAGAAATTCGCCTCCGGGATGTAGGCGAATCGATGAATGAGTTTAAACGCGATAAGGAGGACAACGAACAAAAGCCGAGAATGAGACGAAATGTCATCTCCTAGACAAGGTCCTTGGGGTTCATTGCGATTCTTCCGATAAATGTTGTAACTTCACACAAGTCACGCGACACAATCAGTATTCGTAGACCTATTCTTTGCTAATGAGAAGGCCAACTTCTAAAGAAATCATGCAAATCCTCTCGTGCCTATAATTCCGTTGTACGAAGAGGCAGCTTGTTTTGTCATATACCTACCCTAATTCATTTACAATGCGGATGTAAAAACGATGAGAACTTGTAATCCAAATGCGCCCAACCCTGCAATTTTATTTCAGTGGTTGATCTTGTCGCATCATTGTCAAGTTAGGCAATAAGACAACCATTGAATTTACGCGACAATAATTAGATAACGTCCAGAGGTGTACTACTATATGACAAAAATTACAGACACTTTCTCATGAGTTCACCCGTGGAAGGTGTAACATTACCATGACGACATCAACTTTTAGTATAATATATTCTCACGCTGCGAAAGATTTCATATCGCTATAAGGCTCCCACTTTACTTCCGACATAGTAAAATTAGGCGAATTACATTTTACTTTGTGATATTTCCAAATATACATTTTCGGAAAGTCCTTAATTATTAATGCTAAAGAATACTTTTGAAAACGTTCACATAAATATTATTGGCATAAATAAAATTGAATAAAAAGATACCTTTGCTATGTGTAGATAGCTATAACAGTTATGAGACTTTGACAACTTTAAAACATTCTGTTTCGTTTAAAAAATTCGAAACCCGCAATATTCTCATAGAGAAAAGCAGGGAAAATATACACTGGAATTCGAAAGTTATTCTGTATCTTTAATACGTTAAGTATCTATGTGTGTCGCTTTCTTAGGATTCACTTAGGTACCTCCATGTATTTCTGAACGCTTTACAATTTTCTAATTTGTTCAGTTCGACCGGTATTTTTATAGTGCAAAAACGGAATCAAGAGAAAAAACATTTGAAAAATGTTGAACTTGTTCCTTAACTTTTCCTTAAAAACTAAAATTTTGCTTTCGTAAAACCCCTATAATTAGTAGAATCAATAAAATTCAATTATTTATTCCGAATATTTTCTTTTCTATGCATAACGAGTATTTAATGATGCTTTCTTTTGCTCAGTGCTTACCAATTATACGATTAGAACGGAATGTTATTTTCTTTAGACGAGCATTAAGAAATTTTTACATTTATTGAAAAAACTTATACTATAAACATATAAAAATAGAATCATGGCTATTTAATGTAATTCCATTATATAGTTACAACGAATAAACAGAATCCGACGTGCAGGCGTGCCGTGCCGTTGATATAGTTATTGTGAATAAGTTTGAACTTTTCTTACTCGTTCCCACGCTGATCGAAACCACGGTACTTTGTCCAACGCTATTATTTTCAACTTCATTACAGATAATTGATGAATCTTGTACTGTCACAAGATGATTCTTCAAGAGGCTAGAATTGCTGCAAGATTCTCGTTATTCGTTATTGAGCAAGTTCTCTGTGTTCTCACCACGTTGTTCCTTAAAGGTCTACCATTTCCATTCGGTTTTGCATAGAGTAGATTCACTTACAATATTTTCCGTCTCATCGAGATCCTATTTTTTGAAGCCACAACGTATTACCTTCAACTATGTGTAAGAACAAACTTATATTTCCTACCCTTAGACTCCGATTCGCAGATTCCTCGTTTTGTTTGCGCTCGTCGAGAGCACAACCTTGCCATCGAACATGTTGCTGGACCTGAACAGACGTACGAACGTTTCGATGGAAAAGTACCATCAAGCGGAAATAGCGATCCTGACATCACGCACGCATCTGAACCATGGTTCCCCGTCGTACTTTCTCAGCGCGTCCCACGAAATCACCGAGCACGCGCAAAATCTAACGAGGAAAGCTCTACGTATCGAGACAATGGCAATGATGTTGGTGGAAGCTCTGAACATGTCATCGAAACAGGCGTCCTCCGTGTTGCCTTCCGTAGCCGCAATCAATTGTCCTGATTCGTCTTCGTTTTTACAAGTGATGATCAGTTGCAGAAGATTCGATCCTCGATACAGAACGCACAGTGGAAAATGTAATAACGGTTTACATCCGACTTGGGGCGCCGCTCTAGAAGCTTACACCAGATTTCTACCGCCTGAATATATGGACGGTGTTTCTTTGCCACGTACCGATTTACCTAGCGCCAGAGAAGTCTCCTCGAGAGTACATTCCGGGGGATTGGATATTAAACACCCTTATCTGATGGCACTTACCGCGCTATTTGGTCAGTTTCTGGTTCACGATCTCGCTCATACGCCTAAGATGCAACTACCTGACGGTGCAAAACTGAAATGTTGTAACGTCGATTATGAACACTTCCATCCAGAATGCTTCCCGATCCGAGCTGATAATGCGATCGGGTGTATGGAATATTCGAGATCAGCGCCGCACCCAGGAAACTCATTACAGGTAACAGAAACGTTCTATAGTATACTTCTATATGTATAGTAAGATTTGTATTTGTTGTTAGTAGAATTAGTACCTGACACAGTACAATCCTTCTAGTCATAAAATTATGTCTTTTGTAACAGTCACTTTTATTATATCTATTTTCCAATAGTTGGACTAATTTCAACGTATTTTATACGTTGATTGCATACTAATCGTTGCATTTATACCTTCCCCTTTTACATTTGCATTCTTAAAATATTTTTTTGATACTGTAAATTTTAATAGTAGTAAAAGTAACATAAAAATTGCACCCACGTATACGGTCTATTCGTTGTTATTAGAAAAACGTGCACAAATATATAACACTATTTATTAAATCGTATGAGTTGGTGCATTATTCTCGTTTCCTTTTTGAAAGGATAGAAATTACCAACTACGGTAACATGTCGCGCTAAAAATAATCACAATATTTGGCATTAACATATTAATTTAATTTAAAGTCAATGTTAGATGCGATAATACTGTATCTCATTGCTCAAAACAATTGGAGGATCATGTATAGCAATTGCTCTGCTCGTCAATACAACGTATAATCTCTGAAAAGTTTTTTATACAAGTATAATCAGGTGTTAATAATGGTAATACCGTACGGAGAATATATCAATTTAGCAAACCTACAGAACTTGTTTTTTGTTTCTTTTGATTGGTGGATGCAACGGTACCGTCCAAAAAAGCGATCCCCTAAATCTTTTAAACAATATATTTATGATATATTTATATCCGAGAACAGTAGTTTTAACGCCGGAAAATATTTATTACAATATTGAAAAAATTACCGCATAAAAGAATTTTTGCGACATAGGGATGCAAATTGGGTCCTCGACAGCAGATCAACCAGGCATCCTCGTACTTAGACCTTTCTCCGGTTTATGGGAGTTCCGAAGACATAGCGAAAGCTCTGCGATCCGGCAAGGGCGGTTTGCTTAATACGCAGAGGAAGAATTTACCCATGCCTTCGCCGAAGTACGAAAGTTGCAGAAGCGCGAACAAAGCTTTCCCATGTTTTCTTAGCGGGGATTCGCGGGTAAACGAGAACCCTGGTCTCACTCTAATGCACGTACTTTTTCTACGGGAGCATAACCGAGTCGCTACTGAGCTGGGACAACTGAATCCTCACTGGGACGACGAGAGACTCTACCAGGAGGCAAGAAGGATCGTTATCGCGGAAATGGAGCATATAACTTATAACGAGTTTCTGCCCGTTGTTCTCGGTGAAACGGCTCTCGACAAGTACGTGTACTCTCTTTCGTACCATAATTAATTTTCAAGGATTAGCAGGATGTATTTATACGTGAAACGAACGCGTCGATATTTCTTTTCTATTATAGAAACGAAGAGGATATAATTCAATTAATAACCATAAAAACTGACTAAACTCTGAATATAGTAACAATACGTCAGTTAGAATTATTAAAATGTGGAAATCGTGTTCCAACGTTACGAAATATTAACGCAGTTTAAAGTCTTACATATTTTTAACTGAGCTTGTGTACAGGGTGTAACAAAAATGTTGGAGGACCCGGAAATGGGAGACTCACGAAGTGATTCGAAACAAGTTTTTCCTTAGCAAAAATGTTATCCGAGGCTTTGTTAACGAGATATTAACGAAAAACCCCGACTAATCAGAGCGCGAATCTGCCGGCCGAGTGTCCGCGGTAACGTTGGTGCGTGCTGCGATTAGTAGTAATTTAAAAGTATAATAAATTAAAAGTCAACATAAATTGCGCCAAAGGCACTATTATAATCTTAATAACCGTAAAATAAGAAGTTTGCAATCCATCATTTTAACGGGTTTGGTAATTATAGTATTAATGAATAGTATAGCAATAATACAAAAATTTCTGACTCACAATCAGTTACTGTACATGTAAAGCTTATTTATAATACACTTATGTACCAAACTATTCTCACGTTCAGAAAGAGACATTAAAAAATAGTGTCTGTGTCTCCCTAAACGCATACAATAAAAACAAAAGCTCAATTATTTTTTTAGGGCAAAGGGATAATTTGTGTCACGCGAAATCTTGCCCTTTGAAATAATGAGCGAAAACCTACATAATGTCGCCTATGTGAGGACATTTATCCTCAAGGAAATGATAATATTGTCATAAAGCAGGATAGTAATCAAATTCCCCGTACAATGAATCGGTAAATGTGAATTATAATTCTTGTAATTGTCGTCTAATTAAAGGTATCAGTTACGTTTAACACGGAAAGGATATTTTCGTGGCTACGATACTCGAGCAGACGCGACACTTGCGAATTCAGTTGCGTCGGCTGGACTCTTCTTCGTTGCCGCGTTGACCCCAAAAACCCTCGACCTAGTTGACTCACGATCAGCATTAAAGTCTGGAGAAAGGTCCTTATTATCGGCGTTCTACGCTCCGCAGGAGTTTTATGAAGCTGGTGCTATTGATCGTCTGATCGTTGGTGCTACAGGTCAGTTGAAATTACCTATAAATATCATACATACACACGCGCGCGCACGCACACACACACACACACACACACACACACACACACACACACACACACCCACACACACATATACATACATACAATATACACGGCTCAATTTGCGTTCGAGACTCATAGTCGCAAATTTTCTTAGATAAATCTTTATATCACTAGCAAAACAAATAAATTGATAGATAATGAATAGGACAAAAATGAGCCATTAATCTTTGCAACGTTATTTCTATTTATAAATGAAGAGAATATTTTACTTAATATGATATATATATGTATATATAATAAGGACTTAATATCGAATGTATATTATTCTTGTTAAAGTTTGAAAGTAAATTAGGAAGAAATCGTCACTTGTCTAAAGAAAATACATGTGTAAGTTTTTCATAATTAATTCAGATAAATAAATCAATTATTACGCAATGGTCACTTGTACATACCGAATTTTTCTAATAATAATAATCATTGAATTGAAGACAAAATTGATACACTTTGAACGTACTTTCGTATTTTAATTATTATGTACATGTACATGTATGTATAATTTTGTACATCAATTATGATGTGTTGATAACCATAAAGTACTTGTGATTTGTTGGATATTTGATTTCATATACCTACGTACAAATTCAGTTGTTTCCATTCTAGTCTAGCCGAATTAGACATGAGTTATAAAAAAAACATTAATAGGTATTTATCGTTTAATGCGGTCGTAGTTATGATTAGGAATGAGGATCTAGTCGAAGTAACACATGGATTTGCGATAATAAACAATTGGAAACGGTATAACCGTAAAAATTAGAACCTTTTCTACTTATCGGCTTATATCTTGGAACTGAGCGGACATGACGGAAAATATTGAATACAAAAGTTATAGGAAATAAAGTACTCTATAAAACGAGATATGTTTCGTTAATATGGTGCCACTGGTTCAGCTGCAAATTGCTTTTAAACAATATATTGGAGATTCCTTCAGACATTGATATCTCTATGAAAAGTGTGGGGATGCCGTTGAATCTCATAAATAAGGTACATAGCCCTAGTATTCCCAAACAAGTACTCCCAAGTGGTGTCCCGTCGGTTGAAAACTTTTTGTGTAACAAATTATGTATAAAGTGAAATATTCGACACTACCTATAGACTGTTACAGGTAAGACACAACGTTACTTCCGGTTGTAATGATTTCTCCATGACTTAAATGTTAATAAACAACCGAAACATTTAGTAAAATTTGTAATAGGAAAGTTTTATATCAATTTTTTCTAAATGGACGTCCAAATAAATGGAATAACTTTGAGAATAATTATTTAACAAAAGTGGCATTCTCTGCATTGGAAAGCGCTTATTTTTTCGCGAATTTGGATACAAAACTTTACCCTACGTTAATAAGGAACCGAGATACGATTTTTTTTAGATTCATATCTCAAAGGTATCTCCATATTAAGAGCTGAAATTTGCAGGGATTATAGAGGAAGGTAAAAAGTTTATGATATATTTGGTTGTAAATGAATTATGTGAGTTGTCTCGTAGAAGCAGAAGGTAGAAGTTGATGGGAATGCGCGTTGCACCCACCGTGCTCATTCGGACCGCGCGCCGCGCCGCGCAGCCTCGCACTGTTAGAGGAAAAGTAAAAAAGGAGCTTCATATAGTAGCAGCCGTTGATATCTCCGAAAGTTCTTAAGCAAAATTGACTTTTTTTCAATTTGGACATTATTTTGTAAATTTTTCTTGTAAATTTTCTTTGAATATACAGGGTGAGGCACTAACTATTGCCACCTAGAATAACTCCGAAAGTATGATAGTAGTAGAAAAGTTTTCGAAACAAAAGTTGCATGGGCCAACGGGGGCTGTTATATGACGTTAGTTTTGTCTTGTTAGGTGGAGTCGCTTCAGAGATTTGAAGGTCAACTTTATTTTTTTAGATAGAATGCTATGTTTTGGTACTTATTTTCTGATAGCCGTTATCGAGACGAATCCAATGATGTGCAACATTCAGGTCTTTGAATGTCAACGAAGGTCATTTAAGGCAAAAAGGTGAAATGAACATACATTTACAGAAGGTGTTCAAAGTGATTACCATTGGTAACAATGCAATGCTGCAATCTCCTTATCACGGATTGAGTACTATTTCTTATCACTTCGGTACTTATCCAATCACATGCTCTAACAATTCACTCTCGCATATCTTCAGGCGTAGTTGGAACTTCTTTATAAACAATGTTTTTCAAGAATCCCCACAAGAAAAAATCCTGAGGCGTCAAGTCTGGCGAACGAGGCGGCCACGGTACAACTCCTCCGCGTCCAATCCAACGATTTGGAAATCTTGTTTGCAACTCATTTCTAGCCACCAGCGAAAAATGTGCCGGACACCCATCGTGTTGATACCATATTCTGTTCCTTGTTTCTAAAGGTATTTCTTCCAATAACGGACCTAATGTTTCTTGAAGGAATATGGTGTACTTCCTACCATTAAGGTTTCCTTCGATGAAATAGGGGCTGATAATTCTGTCCTCAATAATCCCACACCATACATTCACCGACCACGGTTTTTGGTGTGCAACTTGCCGCAGCCACCGTGGATTTTCAGTTGACCAAAAATGCATTGCTTTGATACCAATGGTAATCACTTGGAACACCTTCTGTAAATGTACGTTCATTTCACCTTTTTGCCTTAAATGACCTTCGTTGACCTTCAAAGACCTGAATGTTGCACATCATTGGATTCGTCTCGATATCGGCTATCAGAAAATAAGTACCAAAACATAGCATTCTATCTAGAAAAACAAAGTTGACCTTCAAATCTCTGAAGCGATTTCACCTAGCAATAAAAAACTAACGTCATTTAACAGCTCCCGTTGGCCCATGCAACTTTTGTTTCGAAAACTTTTCTACTACTATCATACTTTCGGAGTTATTCTAGGTGGCAATAGTTAATGCCTCACCCTGTATAAGGAAAATAGGTTAAAGATATCAGCTGATAAATAAAAAAATACTGATTTTTACGGTTATACCGTACGCAAATATTTATTATTGCAAATCATTTTTTTACTTCTAACAATTCCTAAAACGATAAAACACCTGTTATATTTTCTGTGTGAAATAATACATTTTATGCCTAAGTCAGCTGGACCATTAAAAGAAGCACAGTTCATTACAGATATAGGCATGGTTTTAATAATGTACCCTCGCGAGCAAACTCGGCTTCTGCTAGGGGAAAAGGGACGTAGAGAAGGGCCTCCTACTATGCTCCTACCTCTTGGTATTTGGAATTATTGAAATTTATGCCAAATTAATATTCGACTTAACATTTATTTTAATACCTAGGATAAATTTACCAAGTAATAGGAGAGTTTTCTTCTACGCCTTTTCTTCCCCTAGTGGAAGCCGAGTTTGCTCGTCGGTGTACATCGCATCTAGTGAAGCATAAAATAATAAAGTACACGTAGCGTTCGAATTAAATTTTATTGAATATTACAACAATCTACTGACACGTTGTCCCATGAGAACTTGGTTTTAATGACGATCTAGGATGCAAGATTTAATTTCCGTGACAGCGGGCCATTCTAGGAAGCCTTTACCGCCAGGATTGAATGAAATACTTTTGGAACGATACTTCCATGATGGAAAAAGCAACGATATTGCTGTGGATTATGCTGCGCAGGTCATACAACAAGGACGGGATCACGGCTTGCCATCTTATGTCAGATGGCGATCATTCTGTGATTCGCCAGATATTAACGAGTTTGAAAGTCTTAGAGGATCAATAGGCAAAGATACCATAGGAAAACTTCGTGCAGTTTATAGGTAAGAATACATATTTTAATGAATATATAGTAATTGTCGAATATATTGATATTACATAAAATTTAATTTGAAAAAGTTAGGAATAACAATATTTTGCACTTTAAAAAAAAAATATATATTAAATTATAAATGTGAAGAAACTTAAACAATAGTTATGTAACTGTATTCGAGGTATGGTACAAAAGATGTGTGATTTTTTATGGTGTATAGTGATGAATTACATATTCTTTAACTATTTAGGTCTTCTCTTTATCATCTTTATGTTTTATCATTCTCTTTTGTTTATTATTCTTATGAAGTTAAAATTGTCATAATTAATAATCATTGTATACTATTATAAAGATCTAATTTATTTTTCTTAAATTTATGATTCATTAGTTTCTATACGATCCTTTCAATTAAATGTATGTTTATGATTTCAATTTTGTAAGTGAAATTCTTATCGCAACTTTCTACTTTTTATGTTGTCCAATTTACAGAAATGTGCAGGACATAGATCTGGTAACAGGAGCACTTTCAGAAGAAACTATGTCTGATTCTGTTTTGGGGCCAACGTTTCTTTGTTTATTGGGTCGTACTTTTCGAAATATTCGGTTCGGTAAGTGAATTTGGTATCATAGTAAAAACCTTATGGAACATATGAAACCAACAATTGGTGTTCAAGACATATCTGATCACAGTGATCAATGATATTTTTTGTAATGCTGCATTGAAACAAAACTATCTAGGTAAATGTGTGAACGTATCCCAAACACTAGTTGTCAGTCAATGATTGGATGTCTCCTATTTGCAGATCATTTAAAAGCATATGTGGTACAGCAGAATTTTTCTTAACCGAAAATCCGTTATCCGAATACACTCTTTTACTCGAACGTTCTACTACCTACCTATACATATCGTATATTTGGATACTAATTAGTATAAGTCTACGAGTGGAACTGTTTATATAACACCTTACCGTAAGCTGTGTAGTGGGAGCCATATTCTACGAAGTCCATATTTGATAGTAAAACTTTGATGACAAAATATTTTTTTTTTCAATATAAAATTGAAAAAATGTATACAGGGTGTTAATAAAAATGTGAGACACTTTCACAGCATGGATTGTACATGCTAAACTACAACGAAAATTAAGAATGACGAAATTGCGTTCGAGCCTTCATTCCGTGTTATTCATTGTTGGTAATACAGGCGAAACACGCGTAAAATACGTCTGATGCGACGGGTCATTCTACTTGAGAGGAGTGTGCTTCAACTGTTCCATAAGTTATTTCATTCATTAAATTATTTAAATTATTTAAATTCAATTAGGTCATCGATCGAGCACGTGTATCAGCTGAGAATCGGCTGTTCAACATAGTATAACGTGTCGTATAACCCATCACATCATACGTATTTCATACGTATTTTCAACACTTAATACGATAATTCAGAAACGAAGCCTCGAACGCAATTTCGTAATTTTTTATTTTCGTTTTACAATTAGTTTAGATATCTCTATTTATACTCCCATATTTTTACTAACGCCGTATATTTAACGACTTTATATTATTATTTTTCGTGTATTCACAGTCCGCAGAAAGTGTAGAACATACAGAGTTTTTATAAGCAGGGTAATTAAGCAAAATCCATATACATATTGAAATTACAATTTGGAATCTATACATGTTTAATCAATTCATATTTAATTATATTATTCGTTATTTCTATCGTTACCATTTTTATTCTTTTCTTTTTTTTTAAATATATACAGATCCGTATAAGAAAAGTAGGTGTTTTAAAAAATCAAAAATTCACTTGTGTACATATTCATGTTGCCCAATTAATTTGATTACAGAAGATTCTACAGTACTTACATTGGCATAAGATTTATATGTGTACGTATGTATTATGTAGGTGACAGATATTGGTACGAAAATGCAAACACTCCAGGTTCATTTACTTTGAATCAATTAGAAGAAATTCGTAAATTTACAATGGCTCAGATCTTGTGTTATAATGGCGATCGAGTGAATTGGATGCAACCTAGAGCGTTTCTTCTGCGAGACCGTTTCTTGTAAGTTTGTTAGTTAAGTCTAATTAACTTAATTAATTAATAACTATTTTTCAACTTTTAGAAATGATATGATAAATTGCACGATACACACGAGTGCATCACCGAATCTTTCAGCTTGGAAAGAGAACAAGATTTCGTAACTTTTGTGTGGTTTATGCCTGACATATCCTTGATTGTACATAACAAATGTTAATTTTAACTACTATTAATTGAAGACATAATTATACTTATTAATCAATGTTGTTCCTTGTAGTAGGAGAAATACATATTGCACTATTTTTGAAAGATATTCAACGGTACATTGTGAAATGACTAAAATGATATTCGTTTTACAAAATGTACATAAATTTTTTATTTACAGCATTAAATATAAGTTTTAAGTATGTAATAAGTACGACATTAAAATTTAACTCAGATAGCACATGACGCCCAATGACGCCTTGAAGACGGCTTAAAAACGCCTTAGACCTAAAATAGCCGTAAAATGGACGTCTTCAAGGCGTCATGTGCCATCTGGGTAATAGATGCAGTATTCCTTCTCAATTAGCTTGCTTCGTCAAGTTCTTTTTTATAATCGCATCACTATCTCCACCATATAACCCATTTTCAGTTTTACGAATGACAAGAAACTAAGATAATGATGTAGCGTGAAAACGGATACGACCAAAGCAAGACACAACCAATGAAATAATCGTAGAAACTTTATTTGTTGCTGTTTATAATTGTGTTGCCAGTCCCGAGCAATTTGATTATATATAGAGAAGGAATGCTGTGTCTACAAATGATAGATATTAAGGTATTATCAATCAAACATTACATGAAGTACATAAAATACTGTTATATTTTTAATAAAAATTTTAATTGACTTTTACTAAAACGTATGTAATAGATCTTGCTATGAAAAATGTTTAAATCATTTATATCTACATAAAAATTAGTGGTTCGTTGGGTGCCAATTAATCGTCCCAAATACAAGCTGCTCTCTACAATACAAATTATCACTCTCTATATTTTTATTTAACAAATTTTGTACGTTTGTAATACTTATAATAATAATTACTCTTGGGAATTTCGAAGCATTATTATAACCTTTACCACATCTTTTGCAGTTACATTTATTTACGAAAGCGTCTATGCTATTGTATTACGACAATATTGTCCTGTGCCTAAAGAATATAGATATCCAAAAATCCTATATATTAGATAACACGCCTCATTGTACGTCAATGACACGATAAAAAAACTCCCTCCATACTATAATTACTTCTCGAAATTATCGTTGTTCCAATGATAAAATTGCGAAACTGCAAGCAGTTAATTTTTTAAAAGGGAAGGAAAGCACTTTGTCGATGTAAAACCACTTGGTCGTGATTTTATCCCACAATTAACTGTGCCATTTATATATTTATTTGTTGGTCTTTTTAAATACATACATATATATATAGTGAGTCACAAAGTTAAATAAATAGTTTCGCAACTATACCATTGGAAGGACAATATACTCAGTCAGCCAAACCTGCAAAGCCAAATTTTGTCGAATGCCTGTTATAAAGTTATGACTACAAGTTCAATGCAAGATTTTCCACAAACAACTTGCGCGTACATTGGGAGCAACATAGGCAGCAAATTAACAATAACATATGCGGCATACATATTGGCTCGCGCAGATTCTGTTCTGTTTTTGCCCCCAATTTGACACAGGTTATGTTGCAGGATTTACTGTCAATTTACTTTACTAATTTGTCAGCTGGCGTTGCCTGCAAAATCCAAGCCAAATGCGGAAACAGATGGCTATACTTCTTGAGACTTTTGTCATTATTTGCTGGCAATTTGCTCGAAACTTGTACACAACTATGTAGTAGTCAGGGTGTAAATATATACCATGTAGAAGCATATAAATAAACAATGAATAATATTTCGTTTTAAACTCAATTAAATCCTTAAAATGGGAAATAAGTTTTAATTTAATCCTGAATTTTATGAGCTATTCAATAAAAGTAAAGTTTCTTATAAAGTTAAAAAGTGCAAAGTATTTTAAACATTTGTATTTTCTGGAGTTCTTCAGCTTTTCACATAGATTACAAATTTTCATCTGTATACTGTCAATTCTTCTGCTACCAACGTCAAGGTTCCTGGATTTGTTTAACCATTCTATTACCAAAAATATTTTTTTTAAGAAATTCAATCTATCCTATTACTACTGTTTCACTAAAGACAATGAAAGTGATATAGTGAGAAAATAAAATATTACATAATCATATATTATCGCTTATAATATTAACTTAATTTTATTTCACGTACTTATGATCAAATTTAGATTAATTTGAATTAAATTGCTATAATACAATATAATATCGCATCTTTTGGAATACATACAATGTACTTAACCTTTCTATTTTCTTCATTACAGATGTAGTTTTATAAAAATATATTAACTATGTATCAAATAGTAAGTGAAATAAATAATTATGTTATAGATAGTAACGTTAAATAATGAATCGTATAACTGTATTTCGGTTTAGTTTGCTTCTCCATCAATTCATATTTCAAATTCCGGATATCAGAAACGTAATACTATCGTATACAATTCTAAACATTGAGAAACTATTTTCTCCAAGTTTTAAAATACGGTAATTGTAGCTATCACATTGTAATTAAATATCACTCAAGTTATAAAGTAATAAATTTACTTACTTTAATTGAGTTTTATTGCTTCTTGAACAAATTTGATAAATGATTTCGATATTTGTTTTGTACCAGAACATTCGGGATAATTCTCGAATCGACGGGGGCGAGAAGGCTGTGCAGTACGTTGATTGGCCTATACATTAGAATCTGCGCTGCCATTGGCTGCTTGCGATTATGCATGGTTACACGGAGTAAAATCTCTTAATGCGCGACGGTGGGATGCGCACTACTAGCTTTGTGAAGGTTGCATCACTCCACGTGAAGTTGGGCTACTCGCGTCTCTTCAGCTTTTTGTTAAATTGAACGATTTAACTTATAAATATCAACATGCTGACGGCTGCAAAGTTGTTAACTCGAAGCTGTAGCAGTGTCACCTGCGACATTGCTAGAAAACAACAATTTAGCACGATTCTTAAACATGTAAGTTCTGATGGCGATTCACAATGTACCGTCCGCAACTTTTTTTGGCCGAATATTTTTCACGTATAACGCATACAATATCGAAACTAACTCATTATTGTATATAAAACGATATTGATTTCATTATTATGTATCACACACTATTTTTTTATCTAAGTAGCGACACTTTTTTCCTTAATGCTGCAAGACAATTGCCATCTAATAGCCGGCACGTGATCGGCACAATTTTTCACTCTTGAACCTGAATTTTAGGCAAAATACAACTATGTGATATCTGTTGCGTTTGTATTTGTCATGAACTAAATACAATTATTCAAAATTTGTTTAATAAATCATTACATCTACTCGCGTTACTAGTAATTCACATTTTTATTACAATAGAATATTTCATAACTAGTGTGTGTATGTATGTATTTATTACTTACAATATTTAAATATGTTGCAGGTTGCAGCTCCTACATATATTATACCACAGCGATCTACAAATCTGCATCAGTATCGATACAAGTAATTAACAAACATTATCTCTAAAATGTATTATTGTGTATTATGTACCCTTGCGAGCAAACTCTGCTTCCGCTAGGGGAAAAAGTGAGGTAGGCGGAAGGGCCACCTACCATTTAATTTTGGCAGTTACTGAAATGTATGCCAAATTATCATTCCGTTTAACATTTATTTCAGTACTTGAAATAAATTTACTATGTGGTAGGAGACTTTTCTTCTGCGCCACTAGTGGAAGCCGAGTTTGCTCGTGAGTGTATTTGTTTTTAAGACGTATAAAAATTTCATTTATATAGATCTGAAGGAGTGAAAGGTGCAGTTATTGGTATTGATCTTGGTACAACATTTTCATGTGTAGCTGTGATGGAAGGAAAACAAGCTAAAGTTATAGAAAATGCTGAGGGTTCAAGAACTACACCATCTTACGTAGCATTCACAAAAGGTTAAAGATGCTTATTATATAAATGTTTTTATGCTTTATGAATATTTTTTATATTGAGCAGGTTGAATATTATTATGTAAATAATGTTGTTTCATAAAACTCTGTGGAATGAAGAGTTTATTACATTGTATGTTTTATTAGAAACAAAATCAAGATGTTATGAATTTTCAGATGGAGAACGTTTAGTTGGTATGCCAGCCAAGCGTCAAGCAGTTACAAATTCATCAAACACATTCTATGCTACAAAACGATTAATTGGACGAAAATTTGATGATCCTGAAGTAAAAAAGGATATGTATGTATTATTATTTATGTATATTAATATTTTTCTGTTTTGCATTGACAAAGAATATTTACAATTTTAGGAAAACTGTAACTTATAAAATTGTTCGAGCTTCCAATGGAGACGCGTGGGTACAAGGAGGTGATGGTAAAATGTACTCCCCTAGTCAAATTGGTGCATTTGTACTCGTGAAAATGAAGGAAACAGCTGAAGCATATTTAAATACGCCAGTAAAAAATGCTGTGATCACTGTTCCTGCATATTTTAATGATTCACAAAGACAAGCAACAAAAGATGCTGGTCAAATCTCTGGCCTTAATGTACTTAGAGTGATTAACGAACCAACAGCAGCTGCTCTGGCATATGGCATGGACAAAACAGAAGATAAAATGTAAGAATTATACGTTTAATAACATTGGATACGTAATTTTATATATATATATATAAAAGTTAGGTAGAATCTAGAATGATGTGTTTATTTTTCGTCTCTTAGCATTTTTGCATTAAACATGCTGACAACGTATACTGACTAATCTTGTATTTGACTAATGCTTTTAGCTTATTTTAGTACATGAAAAAGGAAATTCTATGAACATAATACTTTCTTTTTAGCATTGCAGTATACGATCTCGGAGGTGGTACATTTGATATTTCTATTTTGGAAATTCAAAAAGGAGTCTTCGAAGTTAAGTCCACAAATGGAGATACATTCTTAGGAGGAGAAGACTTTGATAATGCTTTAGTTAATTATCTTATGAAAGAATTTAAGAAAGATGTGAGTATATTGAAACAGAATAATTTTTACTGTTAATAATGTAATGTTATTATTTAATATTTCAATGTTTTTATAGCAAGGTATAGATATATCGAAAGATGCAATGGCTATGCAGCGGTTGAAAGAAGCAGCTGAAAAGGCAAAGATAGAATTATCTAGTTCCCTTCAAACTGATATAAATTTGCCTTATTTGACTATGGATGCCGGGGGACCGAAACATTTAAACCTTAAACTTTCGAGAAGTAAATTTGAAAGTCTTGTGGCCGATTTAATTAAGCGTACGATTCAGCCATGCCAAAAAGCACTTTCTGATGCTGAAGTATCAAAATCTGACATCGGAGAAGTGTTGTTAGTTGGTGGTATGACAAGAGTACCTAAGGTTCAACAGACGGTGCAAGAAATATTTGGTAGACAGCCATCAAAAGCTGTAAATCCTGACGAAGCTGTAGCTGTTGGAGCTGCAGTACAAGGAGGTGTACTTGCTGGAGATGTAACTGATGTTCTTCTTTTGGATGTCACGCCCCTTTCGCTTGGTAATCATTTGTTTTTCAATGATACTATTAATATTTCTTTTGAACAATGATGCTTATTATGACTAATCTTCTCTCTGATAATATTGAAGAACACAGATAACTGAGTTCTATGTATTACAAATTTTTACATGTAGAAATGTAAAATAGTAGTATTCACACATTACTATCTTTACCTTCCAGGTATCGAAACATTGGGTGGCGTATTTACAAGATTAATTTCACGAAATACAACTATTCCTACAAAGAAAAGTCAAGTATTCTCTACAGCAGCTGATGGGCAAACTCAGGTAGAAATTAAAGTTCATCAAGGTGAACGAGAAATGGCTAACGATAATAAACTTCTGGGACAATTTACTCTTGTTGGTATTCCACCTGCTCCACGAGGGGTACCACAAATAGAAGTTACATTTGATATTGATGCCAATGGCATCGTTCATGTATCCGCTAGGGATAAAGGAACTGGGAAGGAACAACAAAGTATGTAACATATGAAGTATATAAAAAAAAGTTTATAATGTTTATAAATTTATTGTCTTTAACTATTTATTTTTTATTTACAGTTGTTATTCAATCAAGTGGTGGCCTCAGTAAAGACGAAATTGAGAATATGGTGAAGAATGCTGAACAATATGCTAAGCAAGACAAAATCAAGAAGGATAGAGTTGAGGCTGTGAATCAAGCTGAAGGAATTATCCATGACACAGAAGCTAAATTAGAAGAATTCAAAGCGCAATTACCACAGGACGAAGTAAGAATACATTACATTTATACGTGTAAATTTATGTTTCTTTTTATATTGACAATTTCAATATTTATTTGTAGTGTGACAAATTGAGAGAATTGGTTGCTAAAATGCGAGAGACGTTGGCCAAGAAAGACGATATAGAGCCAGAGGAAATTAAAAAGCAAACGAATGAATTGCAACAAGCAAGCCTTAAATTGTTCGAGATGGCGTATAAGAAGGTATATTATATAATATTAAGCAGTAATTCTGTTAGATAAGCTTTTAGAACTTAAAACAAATATAAAGTTTATTTAATTATAGATGGCCGCGGAACGGGAAAGCCAAAGTCAACAAGAAGATGGAGCTACAAAGAAGGAAGAAAAGAATTAATCACATTTAAGACAACATATTCGGGCAAAACAAATTTATTGCACAGCTGTAGGAGCACCAATGAAGATCTTACATGCTCAAACAAAGCACATTGTCGCGTAACAGATAACACAATTCTAACAAAAACAAAAGGATGTATTATTAGTATTTTTGTTTTTGAGCATGTGTGATTGAGAATGGTAATAATTAATTTAAAATTGAAGGGTGAAGTATTGATAAGACTCCTTCAGTCGAATGGTTATAATGTGTATCGCTTTAGAACTGCGTGAACATTTTTAACTGTTTTAAGAAGGCCGTAATGTGAAACAGCTTTAAAAACATTTTGTTTTATAATTCGTACTACTGATCGCTTAAAACTGATGAACATGGAAGAGTGAAGTGTTTTGCATAGTATATATTTATTACACATTCAATTACAATCTTGTGAGAGGAGGTCAAATTGTAAATTCTGTACATAACTATTTACATTGACATTGCTGTAAGCAGTTTCTTTATCATTATGCGCGGGAAGCGTAAAAGTGTCATACTTCGTGTCAGTTTTACTTGGCCTCATACGAGAATAACGATGGAAATTGGTAGCTCGACATGTTGTCACAATTATGCAAATCTGTAACTATAGAATTTTGTGGTAATTCATCCAGTATGAATGCGAACGGATAAAAGTAAGAGCGAATGAAATGTATGCTCGGTGCAAAACAAATTATTCTATAGGACGTACGCGATATGTAGAGTATGTTAGGAAGTATTGTATTATGATGTACCCATGTTATTAAAATTTTTTATTTGAATTGCGAAATTATAGAATATAATTTCGATAATTTTGTTGTGTTTCCTAATAAATACATTTAAAGTAATACATATTGTATATGTAAATATATATAAACTTTGGTAAAGTTTTATTCCTGTACCCATGAAAGCATAATTATTTTTACAATTAAGAACGGATCTATAAAAACAATGTTTAGAATGAAAGAGCTTTCAGTTTATAGTATTTTTGTTATATTGTTATTTTGTTACTTATATTCTGTTAAAGTTTATTTAACACTTAAGTGCGGGACGTAAAATTCCTCAAGAGAATTAAAGCGTGAGCACACCTATGAACTAGTGTTGTATAAAGCTCGAGTCTTTGAAGCTACAAAGCTTAGCCTTAAAAAAATCATATGAAGCTCGCGGCTCGAGGCTAACACGTTCACTGCCGAGCGTGTTTCTGCTGATTTTGTCTTCAGCGCCAAAGAGTGATTGCCCATTAGAATCATATAGTAATATATTACAAAATTAGATTATATGTATTGTGCAAACTTATCATGCGTAGTACATTAATCTTGCTGCCGGTCATCTATGACTCCCATGGCGTAAGAGTATGTTTTCAGTCGATAATACTATATTTTGAACACTACAGACAAATTTTTAGCAATGTTTCATTTCGTCTACTATTCAATGGTTATTTTGTTTCATTTTTTATTTCCCTTTCTTGGTATTAATCTCTCCTGTGTTTGCAGTCATGGCTGTATTCTTTAAAAACTGTATAAAGTATAATATTATAGATTTAGTGTTAATTCCATTATTTAACACTTAAGGGTTCTAGAAGGTTGAACCTTAAACCTTCAGACTTAATGTGGAATAACACAGTGACGATTGGAAAAAATTAAGTTTTTTATATATACTTTCAAAGTATAATTTTTCGAAAATATTCTACTAAAATATTAA